CAACTATTTGCTCATTCATAGATTTTAAGGGCATGTAAGTTAAAAAATACTCAGTTAGAGCAAGTTCCTATTTCCCAATCCGACTATGAAAAATTGGTTTGGAAATCATATGTTTAATGATATAAAAGTGAGACGAAACATAAACGTCAACTGGCTTTATGTAATGCTTTAATTTTGTACAATAGAAATACAAACACATGCACAACTTTTCAACCATATTACATCTAGTTTCTGTGTCATTAAGGACTCGACTAAGGTAATAAATGGCCCTTTCGACACCATTATAATCCTCTTGAGCAAGCATGCTCCCTATAGTAACATCAGACGTAGAAATGTACAACCTCATACTCTTACTTCTATAAGGAGGTGATAGTATTTGAGGGTGAACAAAATAGTCTTTAATCTTATCGAAGGACTCTTGCTGTAATTTCCCCCATTTAAATCCATCTTTTTAGGCAAAGTAAACATGAAAAAGCTTGAGTCTTGCCACTTAGATTCAAGATGAACCTTCTTAAGAAATTAATCTTCCCTCAGCAAAGATCGTAACTCCTTCTTGGTTGATGGCGCTTTCTCTTGCATGATGGCCTTGGTCTTATTTTGATTTATTTCGATCCCTTTCTTGTGGACCATAAAACCCAGAAAATCTTCTTCCTGCACACAAAAAGCACATTTAAGAGGATTCATCTTCAGACCACGTCTTCTCATCCTTTCGAATAACTGTCGAAGATGGTCTACGTGGCTTTTTCCTAATACAGACTTAACAACAATGGCATCAATATAAATCTGCATCAAAGTCTCAATGGAGTCATGAAAAATAGATTTCATTGCTCGTTGATAAGTTACCCCGATATTTTTCAGGCCAAAGGGCATGACTACCCAATCGTAGGTACCTATGGTACCTAGGCAACGAAATTCGGTTTTGGGCACATCTTCGTCAGCAATGAAGATCTGATTATATCCAGAATACCCATCAAGCATGTTAAGATACTCGAAGCATACGGCTGAACCAATTAGCATTTCTGCCATTGGCGTGGGGTATTTATCCTTTGGGGTTGAAACATTTAAATCTCTGAAGTCAATGCAAACCTATTCTTGCGAAAAACACTAACTGAGTAACTTCCTTGTAGGAACAAGGAGAATCACAATATATGATGATTTTGAGGGATTTTAGAGGAACGAAGGTGGTCATATGCACTCAAGAATAGATGTCTTGGTTATCTCTCTGGCGGGAGCCCCTTTATATAGCCCTCCTGGTGTTCCATTAAGAGTCTCATTCAAGAGAATATTATTTGGCTTCTGAACCGTATAACTGCCGCTATCACCAAGAATGAGGACGTTTCAAGATGGCTTAATGCTGGTGTTAATGCACCGAGAATTGTTACAATCATTAATGAGATATGCTACTAACCGGCTATGAACAGATGTGCTCCGGCTACGTACAATATCCAGGTTGGTATCTCAAATGGGTTGCTTCTCGGACACAATGTTTACCGAGTTAGAACTAGGCCCTGTTACCCTTTGTCTCCATAGGTTATATATACTCGTCCAGTTCCCTTTGCAGGCGATTTTATGATCCGATTAGAACTAATATTTCCGGGATGTACATAAGCTCCCCCTCCCCCTGAATACTAATTTTGTTTACAAGAATGAAGTGTTCGGTCAATGAGAGCACGGGATATATTAAGGTTTGAACCGGGTTATAACCTGACTTCGCCTTTATTCAAGGGTCACGAACTGAAGAGCCACGTCTTTTTGAATAATTTTCTCTCTAATCGCGCAATGATGATTTTTATTGGGACTTGTTTATTGGGCGACGTTTCTTTTCAAAATATACTGTTCATTGGCCCCTTATTTAAACCTGTTTTCTTCTTTCCTTTTTCATCTTAGCATTAGTAACGTATCATTTCAGAAAAGATTGCATTTCACTAAGGCGCTCATCACTTTCAGATACCTTCTTCTCTCTTTCTTTTTATTTTACTGTTTCTTTTTATTTCTTAGAAAATAGTAACCATAAAAGAGTGTGACGATGAGAGAAATATCGTAAAACCCACCAAAAATGAGATTAAAAGTACCTTAAGTGAGGAGAATTTTGATTGAAAAGATTTTACAAGATTTGATTTTATTAATAACACAAAATTTTTATAATTTGAAAAGCTTAAAGTTTATATTGAAGAAAGGTTTTAAAAGATTTTAGAGTTTACATAACTTCTTTAAATATGTTTTATATTATTATAAAATTTCAAATATTTTATAATTTTAACGTGAACTTAATACCTTTTTATCATATTATTAATTATTATTTTTTATTTTAATTTTATAATATTTTCTTTTTCATATAACTAATGAAAGATACGTTTATAATTTTAGAGTTTTGTTAAATTATAATAAAAATAAATATTTTATATATTTTTTAGTTAAATGATTATAAGTTGTTAGGTTAAGTTCAATCTCTAGCAATATTATAATATATTAATGTAAACAAATTTATTTTATTAAAATATAATAATATTCACTCATTTGAATTGATAGATTCATGAACAAAAGAAAACAGTATCTGAAATCAAGATAGATGATTTTATATCAAAATAAACAAAACTATGAGTAAATTAAATTTGAAGTTACCCTTACATAAAAATAAGATTAATAATTATCATTATTGTTGTCATTATGATATATAGATTACTTCTATATATTAGTTGTTGTAAATTAATTAGATCGAATGCTTTCGTGTAACAAAGCAGTATCTTTATTTTTTATCAAGTTGTTGTCAAATCGTTAATACTCAATACTATTTACAAATTCTAATTGCATGTAAAACCTTTCACTTTCATATTGAAATGATTAGAAAGCCTACTCTCTCATAAAAAACAAAATATCAAGCTGAAGTTGAATATTCAAAGTATTGCCAAATATTCAATATAAACGTTTTTTTAATTTTTAATTAAAATTAAAAATTTAATTTATTTAGTTGTGAAAGCCTATCTCTTTCAATTAAGTTGAACACTATTTTGGCCATTTCTCTTCCAAGCTATACTTCCACTTTGCAAATGAAAAACAAGTATATATATATTTTTTGAAAGAATTTTTTATTTTCACTTTTTCTTCCGATAACTTTGATAAAAGACATTTTACCCTAACCAAGTTATCTTATAACCACAAGTGTAAAGTGTACTAGTGTTAATAAAACAATTTGAGATATTATTATATAGTACAAACTTTATCTTGACAAGATGAGAATCTACTCCTATTTTGATTAACAATAATTGAGGCAATACAGTGTGGCAATTCTTGAAAAACCTGTGGTCTAACAATGAAATAATTAATGATGTATGAAATAGATAAATTCTAATTATTTCATTAAGTTATTATTTTATTAATGGTATAAAAAATTGAAAAGAATTGAAATAATAATAATAATAATAATAATAATAATAATAATAATAAATACATAAAATATAGTAAAAAATTAACCTGATTCATTAATATTATAAAATAATTTATTATTTAATATTTTTTATTAAAAAATTATAATTGTTTTATCTGATAATTTAATAGCCAAAATTTCACCATATTAAAAATAAATAAATATATCACATATTCAAACTCACTCTTCTATATCTTATACAACTATAATCAAAATTAACTTTTCTTATATATGAATGTGATTAAGTTAAGTCTATAACTACTCATCCCGTATCAATTTATAAGAAAATCGAATACATTACATTTATTAAAAAAAATTAATTTTTTTATTTTTTAAAATATTTTTAAAGAAAATGTAAAACTAAATTCAATTGATTGTTATTTATAAAAAAGATTGAAAGAGAAATTAAATTGAATATAATTTACATTTAATTTTACTTTAGAACAAAATAAAATTTTAAATTAAAATAGTTAAATAAAATTAATACTTTTCTTTTTATAATTTTGTAACAAGAACATGAATGTTTTTTACTTAACCATTTTATATAAATAAAATAAAGTAAAAAATGAAGTACAAAATTTAAATACATTCTTTAAATATAATTCTTACTATTTTTTAATAAAAATATGATAAATATATTTAAATATTATTTAAGGAATGAAAATAAGAACAATTTATATATGTATAAAAAAATTATATATTTATTGAAAAATAATAAATATCAAATCTAAAAAATTTACTTAAGTTTTATTCAAAAATTAAACCAAAATATATAATAAAAAACTCATTTTTCTTGTTATAAATTATAGAAAAAACATTAATTTTATTTCATTTAATCATTTTATAATAAAAAATTTCTCTTTTCCAAGTTAAAATTAAACTTTTCACTTATTTTTTTCATAAAAAATAATCAATCAAAATTAGTTTTATATCTTTTTATAAATATATTAAAATAAATAAGTTTAATTTTTTTTTAATGAGTGTGCTCTTTCTGAGAGTAGCATTCTCTTTCAAAAATACGGTAGTACACTACATTAATTGGAAAAAAAAAAGTCCATTAGAGGTAAAAAAAAAATCAAAACACTAGTGCAGACAGTAGAGAATCTGCTTTTAATTTTTATTTATGCTTGTCAATGAAAAGTACTAATAATAAATATAAAATTAAAAAAACAGACATTTTCTACATGTATATTTGCATTTTATTTTCATTATTACATCAAAAACACAACATCAAATCAAATTAAATCAAAAGATCCAAAATTATATATTTCTGCATGCAGCAAATATATATATTTTTAATCAAAACAAAAAAAAATATTAATTCAAAAAACTATACAAACAAAACGATCTCATGAACCAAGCCTAATGCAACAATCATATTACAAATCCTAAACAAATAAAATAAACAAGAGACAATAAACGTATTTAGCCCTTAAAGTAAAAAAATTGCAAAAGGACCCTTACAAATTACACATAAAATTTAAAATAAAATAAAATATGTAACTCAGAAAAAGACAAAAAAAAAAGTAGAAATTAAAATTAAAACAAAATACCATAGGGTAATTTGGTAATATGATTAATGCTGCCATAATGAACCCTCAAAACCCCGAAGAATCATACTTAGACTTTCAGAGTTGTCTTGATGCATTGAAATCTGATCCCAACTGTGTGAATAATAAGGCCATCCATCAACCGGGTCGGAAAAAACCATATTAACCGGGTCGGGTAATTCAAAACTCGTTCCCAATGCCGGTAGTTCCACAATCTCACCGAGTTCGTCTGGTGTTGACGGTTCTTCGGAAGAAGAAACCGCAAAAGAAGACGAGGAAGAAGATTGCGACAGAGAAGAGGAAGATGAAGACGAAGATAAAGAGGATGTATGTGATTGAGATGTTGTTTGTTGATTGATAACTTCCATGGCAGCGGCTTTCACGGCGGCGGCCTGAACATCTCGAGGAGATTTCGATTCAGGTCGAGGCATTGAATCCGCGAGTTCAGGGAAGTTGAGGATGGCTGAGTTTCCTTTGATGGCGAGAGCCGCCACGTCGTGAGCTCGAGCCGCCATTTCCGCCGTGGCGAAGGTGCCGAGCCAGATCCGATTCTTTTTTCGCGGCTCGCGGATTTCGGATACCCATTTTCCCCATGCCCGCATCCGGACGCCTCTGTAAACCGGGTGGTTGGTGTTGGTACTATCTCTAGGCCGTTTGGACCGGTTTTGAACCGGGTCGGGTAAACCGGACTCCGTACTAGTAGTAGTAGAGGATGTTTTCTTTGAGATAGGTTGAGGTAACTCTAACTCTCCCATTGCCTTATTTAAATTTATTTTTATTTTGAGATTATAGTTTCTATTTCTAGCTACAAAACTCACTCACTAGCACTAACACTTTTCTGATTTATTTTTGACTTAGGAATATTGTTAATGTAGCAATGAAGTTACTAGCTATATTCTCTAGGAAGGAAGAAAATGGAAAGATATAGTGTAAGTGTGTGAGGGAAGTAAAGAACTTAGAAAAAGAGTGTGGGTGAGGAAGTTGGGAAGAGAGGGGTTAAGGGTTATAGAGAAGAGAGGAGAGGGAATGGGGTAGTTAGAGAAATGAAGGAAGGACGAAAGATATAAAAGAGGAACGTGGGGCTTATATGTATTGTGACCCCCACACGAATGCCTTCCACAATATGCATAATTGCATACCATACTAGTACTTATAACATGCACATCTACTATCATCTATCAAATATTTATTCCATAACGCTACCCTAATTAGAAAACAAAAACAAACTTATTTTATTTTACACTTTAAAAACTATATATATGTAAAGATGATCTAAAAATATTTTATTTGACTTTTTTTGGGTAGAAATATTGAATTTAGTTCATATACTTGGATTATTATGTAAATAGTAAAATTTCCCATAACAATTAATAATAAACTTCAAATAAATGTTTTTTTTTAAATTAATTATGTAAGTTATTGATATATAAAGCGTTTTATACTAATGATGTATTAAAGTTATAATATATTTAATTAAATATACTTTTTTTCATATAATAATTATAAAAATATTTATGAGATTGTTTGGTGTTTTAGGTCAGCCAAAGGCTCAATAAGAGGTGACTCATTTATTGCTTCAAAGTCTAATGACTACTTGATCTAGGGGTATAAATACTTATACACGCATAAGATTCAAGATACAGTCATTCTTGTCATATTTTATTCTTCTTTTTTTGACTAATTGACTGATTTGTGCATTAGAGTACTAACTTTGCAAGTTCACTCAAACGTTCCTCTGCACTAGAGGCTTGTATCACCACATCAGGAATCCAATATTACAATGCAAGTATAATTTTGGTTGCGATACGAAATAGTAGTATCGTTTGTGAGAATCAACTATTGATTCCCGCAAAATTTCACGACTAGATCTCGTTTGATCCACTGAAGCAGTATCTTCCATGGATAAGATAGATGCTAATTTCAACCTATCACACTCATATCAAGAATCTGATTTAGCACCATCGTCTGTTTTTGTGGTCGATGATATCATGGAAGCATCACTGAGGCAAGAAGATCTTCTCATGTTTGATTTCGCCTGATGCGCGACACGAATCAAAGAACGAGAAAACGATAAGACAATTTTGGCTTTCGAGATCAGGAGAAAGTAGACGGATTCTCTAACGTTATGTTACCGTTAATTATAAATGCCACCATAGAAAACATGTTGTATCTTATCTCCTAATCGACGACGGGAGCGTGTGAAACTTAATGTACTTTGAGGTAATTCCAAAGTTTAGGTTTGCGTATGCAAGATCTAAAACCATGCGAAGACATGACTCTTTTGTTATTCAAAGATTCCACTACTCAACCATGCGGATGAGTAGATATGACAATTTCCCCCGAGGAAGGAGAAGACGACCAGAGTACAAATGTACACTTCTTGGTGATCCCTTGCGAAAACATTTTTAACGCATTCCTCGGTAGGCCTTTCCTAGCAACCTCATAAAAAGCCTTGGAAGAAGTCCATATGGAGGACTTCGATGTTTGGCAAGACCAGGTAAATCTGAATGATGAGTCCCTTTCGCTCGACGACATCGAGAAGAAGATGTTAAGACCAATACCGATCATGGAGGCCTCCGAGTCGAGGTAAGGGAAAGATTAGTTTGGTGCCTAAGGGCCAACACCGACCTTTTTGTTGTTTCACCACACAAGATGCCCAACATCGATCAAAGTGTAGCTTGCCACAAGTTAAACGTTGATCCTGATGTCCAATATGTCTTCCAGTGAAAGTGGCTCCAATCACCAAACAAAGCCGAAGAGACCGTTAAGATCGTGCAAGGACTGATGGACGCCAACTTCATTTTCGAAGTAAGATACACTAAATGGCTTTCTAATGTCATAATATTAAAAAAAGACTTCGAGAAAGTGGAAGATGTGTATCGACTATATTAGTCAGACAATCCTAAAGATTCTTACCCACTGTTGAACATATACTAGTTGGTATATACTTCGACTTGATATAAACTTTTGTCATCCATACATGCGTAATATGGCTACAATGAAATACCCATCTACGATTCAGACAATAGAAAAATGACCATCATGATCGAACAAGCAAATTATCAATACAACGTGATGTCCTTCGGGTTGTAAAATGCAAGAGCAGCATACAAAAAAATGATGAACAAGATATTTCATAAAAAAAATAGGAGAAACACTGAAAGTTTACATGGATTATACAACTGTGATGTCCAACAACGAAAATGTACACAACCAACATCTTGACCTAATTTTTCGAAGAGTTATACAATATAACATAAAATTCAAAATAAATATTTTATTGTTTATAATATTGATCAGAGTGCATAAATATTTAAAAATAATATTATTTTAATTGAATAATTTTTTTAAAAGTTTACATTCTATATATAGTCCATAAAGTAAAACACTTTAACAATAATATATTATACTTCATCTGTCTCAAAATAATTATTTTTCTAATCTTAAAAATTTGTTTCAAAATTATAGTTTTTTTATTTTTTCAATACAATTGTAATTAATTTTTATCAATTTTACTCGTTATATACACTCTTTCTAAATATGACAAAACTAATAATAATAAAAGATAATTTTATAAAGATATTATTTTTATTAACTCAATTATTATTTTTGTTATTCTCTGTATAACAATTTTAAACAACTATTATTTTGATAAGGAAAGAGTAGTTTAAAATGGAGAGAAATTAAGAATAATTGAAGAGAAGAGAAGGAAGGTAACAAGGGACAGTCACCCTAAATAGGTTGACCACAGCCAAAACCAGATATTATGGTCACTCCCACAGGCTGCTGCTGGTTGGACTGACGCCAATTACTATATTTTCCATCATGACTTGACACCAGCATTCATTCACCAGCTAATAATGCCTCACCTTACTACCACCATTCCCTTTCCCCCCTCTTTTACTTCTACGGACCATTCAGGAATATATCATAATATCTTATGTATCTATTTAGCACATAAAATTTATATTCAACTCAGAATCAAATGAGTCCAATTACTTCAAATTTCATCCTTTTTTAATACACTTGCTATGATCACATGCATTGGCATAGTAGATTCCTAACTAAGTAAATATATGACATAATTAAATTACCTTCCTTTGTCATGTTGTAATGTTGTATAGTCAAGCTACTGTGACTCATGTTCCAATTGTCACACTCATAAAACTGACACTAAGGGATAATGAACTAGTTTTCACTTTTCAGTGATCTCAAAACAAAAGGTTTGGCGTTTGTATTTGTTTTCTTGTGTGCATTCAACTGTTCATGCACACTGAGACACTGAGGCTATTGGGTTTGTTTACCAATTTTTCTTGGGAAAATGAAACTATATGACATAACATGAACAAAATCTACAATTTGTTGTTTTCATCGTTTACTAGATTTATGAGTTCAGGATAAGTATAGAATCTAAAGCTATAATAGAATATTGGTCCCAGCATTATGAAAATCACCGATTCAACTACTTTTTTTTTTTGGAGATAAAATCCAAATTTGGATATTTGGAAATTTGCAGCTACATTATGACAATAAAAATTATTTAAGAGAATGTGCAAAGTTAATTATAATTATTTAATTATTTTTGAAAATATAATCAAATGGTACTATTTTAATATTATTGACCTATCTCAAATGTACACAAGTATAAGCAAATATAAATTTCTAAATTAAACTGTTATAGTAAGGGAAAATGGTGGAAAAGTTTCCAAGAGTTGAGAGGTTGGTGACATTATTAATTAGTAAAATTATGATCCTTTATCCTCTTTGCTTTTAGGAATCTTTACTTAGAAACAGTAAACACTTAGTACAGTGTAAATGCTAAAGTAACTGGAAATTCCACGCTATTGATCTCTCTTTAAGTTTTGGACTATCTAAAGTTCAATCAAAGTTGTTTCTAAAAGCAAAAAAAAAAAGAAAAAAAATTAGTCTGTTCATTTTCATTTTTTGTTATAAATGAAGATTTTAATTTAAAAGTATAAGGAGAACCCAATTCCATAAAATTACAAATAGTAATCCTTTAGAATACAAGGGAGAATGTTTGGGTGATTTTAACATTGGGTGAGTTTGGTGACTTTGTCTCTATCTTTTTCTGAATCAAATATTATCTTTGATTAAAATAATTTATTTTAATTATTCATAAATCTTTCAGTTACATTGAAGTTATCAAAATTACCAAGTAGTAAAATCGCTCAATTCATTCCCAAATAGAAGACACCAGATTAATAATTCATTTCGACAATTTATATTTTCATGAGTTCATTTTCATTTAACTCGTGATTAAGAATAAAATGTTCGACTGTCTATTAATAGAATTGTGGAAATTAGCAACAAGAAAATCACATGCGTAAGTGTTTGGAAAAATAAATGAGAGAAAAAAAATAAGAACAAATTAACAATATAAGAGATTAACATGGAAATTTAAAATCGGAGAAAAAATCACGATTGTTGTCAAATGACAACTAGAAAATAATACTATGAAAAAATTGTTGTAACATATAGACTATCTTCAACCATTTCAAGGTCCCAATACACCCGCATTCTCTGAAGCAAATATTTAACTATACCTCACAACACTCTAAAACAAGTATATAAGAGAAAATATAAAAAAGTCAGATACAAACTTAAAGTGCTTTTAACTAGTACATGTTGTAAAGAAAAATTTGAATCTTATATATAGCATTGGATTCTCTTTTCCATCACTAAGCTAAGCGGTGTGAGATTTAGAAGAACTTTAATCCTATATATAGCATTGGAC